ACTAAAGTGACTGATGGTTAAGGGGGGTGATGTAACGGGGTGAATCGTTACATAACAATTTATAAGAAATTGTTAATAGAATTATACTATAAGAGTTAGATTCTCAGAATTTTTGTCATAAGAACAAATATTCTGCAGCACTTACGAGTAGTTCCTAATTGGTTGATTTAGGCCATTATATCAATCAACGAAGACGCGCCACGACAGACGCACGCAACGTGTGGTGATTATATAGTTGATGTGCACATTTGTATTCAGACACAGTTAGATGAAGATAAATAATGATTTATTAACAGAAATTAACTATGATAAATACATTTCTACTTTTTACTTTAACCAAGTACTCGCTTCTTCTTACCGTCTTCCTCTGCACGTACGAGTGTACGTGAAGTTCCGAGGCACCGCCTTATTCTGTCTTCAGAATAAGTAGCTTGTACTGTCACCAGTACAAGCTTCAGGGTGCCCCGTTACAACGCCTCTTTATTCCCCCAGCGCTCTTGGGGCGGAAGACGACCCTGCTTCCGCTTCCCACGCTTTTACTGTACCATCACTGCTGCCACTAAATAATGTATTGCCGGACGCATTAAAACAGACTGAGTTCACTTCCGTCGCATGATCGCGGACGGAGTGTGTAGTTTGAGTGATCAACGTGGCTCTCGGACCGCTTTGACTCAAGCCTCCACTTTCATCGAGCAACTGAGTCATTCTCTCGGATCTCTCCTGTGTTTTCCTAGCTTCTGATGCAGATGAAGGCGCCTCTCCCCCTCTCTGTCCACTCGTGGTATGAATCCATTCATGAAGCAGAGCGCTCTTCTCCTGCACCTGCGTCTCGAGCTCCGCGTTCTGCTTCTTGAGTCGCTCGGTCTTCATCTCACTCTTCTCCAACAGACTCCTCTGTCTCAAGATCTCTTCTCGAAGAATTGACAGCGCCGCGTCCAGCTCCTGGAGCGCCATGTCCTTCTCTAAACTCAACAGCGTCTCGTCCTTCAACTTCCTCTTTGTCAGCTGCATTCGCTTCTCCCACTAATCACGCCCCCTGCAGCAGCGTCTTGCTCTCACTCACGATCAACAGCTGGCGACCCGCGTAGCTTTCCAGCTGCGCATTCTTGTCCGTTACTTCGCGCTCCAGTCGCTGGATAGTTGCCAGGTATCTCTGCTCGGCTGCGTCTGCTTGATCCTGCGTCGAGGCGAGAGGGATCGACGCACCCAGAGAAGAGGAAGTCTAAGTTCGGAACAGCAGCTGATCGTGGGACGTGATGAGGGCGCTGAAGGCTGCAACTTCGCGGTGATTGCGAACCTCTACAAGCCGCAGCGCTTCATCTGAGAACCAGGAGGACATGATGATAATTGTACCGGAGTCAACTCGATGCCAGCTAATATCGTACGCCTATATTTTTATCCTCTGCTTAGTCAATTATACGAGTTAATACGGGCTATTCAGATTCTTGGTGCATCTATAGGTCGACAACACCCTGTGTGTGTTAACGATCGCGATTCTGTAGACCATTGGGGACCTCACAAACAAATAACTGCTTTGGCCACTGCGACAAGTACAATCGTACACGTTGGCATAAAAACTCTAAGCATAGTGTAATTGTATGGTTGTAAATATAAGCGGCACATACCGTTCGGAACCACGACAACACCGGCAGTTGGCGACGAGAATGACAACAAGAAGCCACAACTGGCTGGTATCGATTCGCTCTGTACAACGCGCACTAGCCGAGGGTTACTGACTTGTTTACCTCACGATATCGGGCACGTTACCTGTAGGAATGTTTCCTTTCCAGGGATGGTAGTGATCGGAGTTTAATAGGCATGGAATTACGACCAGCGCCAGATTGTGAGGTTTTTGGGCAGCTGCAGATAGTCAGTGCAAGTAGTCAGCGAGCAAATTAGTTAGCTGCCAATCTTTTAGATTGACTGGTTTAGGGGAACAGTCAATCTAAAAGATTGGCTGCTAACTAATTTCAGTTTGATCTGTTGTAAGGCAACAGATCAAGCTGAACATTCCAATTTTTCTTCTCCACGGAATTATTATTGGAGGTTGGTCAAGTAATTCTAAATATTCTTTTTTAGGTGCTTTAAGATCAACAGCTCAGATGATTTATTATGAAATTACAATTGGTTTCTTAATTCTTTCCGTTATAGTTTGAGCTGAGTTGTTAAATTTAATTTCAAATGTTTTAGCATAAAAAACTGTTTGGTATTGCTTTCCTCTTTTTCCTATTTTTATATTTTTTATTTGCGCGCTCTCCAACCGAACGGTATTCGGTTTGTGATGGACTGCTGTACTATACAGCATTCAATGGCGACACACCTCGTGTTGTCCTTTCCGCTCATAATGATTTGCGATTGCGCATCATGTATGTGTCACGATGCCCCAACACGTGGGCATCGCGGTAGAGAAAAAACTTACCGCACGGTAAGTCGTGAATTCTACTAGCCTCGCCAGTGCGAGTACGCGCGCAAAAACATTCGCGCTTGCGGATTTTGTCAACGGGTGAAGACTAGTCCTTCATCCCGCGCACCCTTGCAGCCTCTACCGATTCCGGCAGAGTGTTGGCAGTCCGTATCGATGGACTTCGTCTTCGGGTTTCCCAAAGACGCTCACAAGAATACTGGAATTCTTGGGTTTTTTTATCGGTTCAGCAAGATGGTACATCTTGTTGCTGTACCGGAGTCAATCACAGCCCACGGCTGTGCTCGTGTCTTCATCGATACTATCTTCCAACTTCACGGGTCACCCCGTGAACTCGTGTCTGATTAGGAAACCCGCCTTAGAGCGGAGTTCTGGAAATCCGTGTTCCGTTCACTTGGAACACGTTTGAAGATGTCGACTTCTGACCATCCAGAAACATATGGTCAGACGGAACGCGTCAACCGCGTCCTAGAAGCGATACTTCAAGGGTATGTCCACTCGTTCAAGAGTTAGTGTGAGTTCTTGGCGATGGCGGAATTCGCCATCAACAACTCGGTGCATGCTTCTACAACACATACACCGGTCTTCGTGAATGGCCTACGCCATCCACGTTTACCCGCCTTCTTAGAGTGTGACTCTAGTTTAAGGGAGGGGGAATCGCTCGAACGAAAAACGGTCTGGTTCTTGCTCATCACCCGTCGACGATGATGTCGGCGTGACGGATATTGACGTCGATGCGATCGACATCGATGATGATGATGACGACGCTGGTCGCCAACGACTGCCACAGTGAGGACGAAGACGCCCTCACTGGTGAAGGCAACGTTCTCTCAGCAGTGCACACGAAGCGCACTGCTTTTGACAAGGATGAATCAGCAGAGGAATTTCTGCTGACTCGCGAAGCGGTTCTCCGCCTCGTTCAAGACTCTTTTGCAGTTGCACTAGTCAGACATAAAAGAAACGCAGACAAACAGGGAAGAGCAAATGTTCTTTCATTTGATGAAGTAGATTTAGTTTTACGGTCTACAGTAAATCTACCAAAACACACAGTGACAAACGTGGGCAGCAGTAAATTACTGCCCAAGTATATCGGTCCATTTCGTGTGTTGCGCCGAATGGGCAACGCATACACGATTGAACTGCCCTGTAAGATACGTACGCATCCTACGTTTTACGTTGGTCGTCTCCGCCAGTACTATCAGTACGAGACCGTTTCGAGATGCGAAGAACCTCTCTGCGGTCGAGAGCCGAGATCACCCTCAAGTGGTCCCGTTTCAACGAGCCAGTTTGGTCGACTAGCGAAACGACCTGCTCACGCAGTTGAGTAATGTCTCGACGAGCTGCAGCCAGCTCATCATAAAGAGAACGAGTCGAACGTTCGTTCTCAAGTTGCGCGAACGCAAAAGCGGCACGATCACCCGAACGATCGTGCGTTAGGGAATTGCAAATATCCCTTACAAGATCCGCAAGCTCATAACGCCGAGTCCTTTCGTGAGCCAGGTCATCTTGCAACTCTTCCGTTACAGGGTTCAGCTCCTGAATATCAAGTTGATCCAACCCTCAAGCCGGATCAAGTGTTCCCGGCGCCACCACATCCTTTGGTGGGATCAAGCAGTGGTCAACGCTTCCTAGCGGAGCGTATTTTGAAACACCACGATGTGAATGGCGTCTGGACGAGTTACCTCGTCCGCTGGCGTGGCTATCTTCCGGTGTGGGACAGTTGAAAGCCTCGTGCCCAGATGATTGTTGATGTCCTGGGTCTCGTCGAGACTCACCCGCTGCGTTCGAAGAAGGGCCGTCGGAAAGTGACCTCCCCGAACGCGAGTACAGGGATTGCAGGGTGTTTATCCCTTCGGCCACCTCGGAAGAGATGCGCGCCCTCCAGTAGGGATCATTAGGAAGGAAGGCCTCCCTAGGGGCACGGTTCGATTTGTCCAGGCAACCTAGACACGAACATCCCACGGGAGACAGCGTAATCCTGCCTCTCTTGAAAGTCGGTGAAACTTGTATCGCGCCCCGATTGGGTTGCGTTTCTCAAACGTGATGCGATCTGCATCAAGTTTGGAGATCCAGGCCTCACGGCCAATGCACTCGATGTTGTGGATGAGGGCATTCCATCCCTGCGCCAAGGCTTTGCCGTCTCGAACACGGCTATTACTATACCACCGATGTTTAAAAAATGAATCGGTGAAAAATTCTTCCTCAGCACAGATAGTTTCCGTGCTGGGATCAGGTGGGCGAATCTTTTTGCAATTGAACAACGGGATTCGATCCCGTTCGATAGTCATGCTGGCCAACCGGTCTAACTCTCTGGATGGCGACATCCAAGGAGACCCCACTTGGGGAGCGTGTCGCAGGACATTTCGGTCCCTGGCCTCTGGATTGGTGCCAGCATGAGCACTGACACCAGTGACACCTTGATCCCTCGAATTACTTCGCTCGTGGTGATGTATAGGTGCATCACCACCATTCCCACGCGTCCTATCGTTGGATGGGCTCGCGCGAGGCGAGGATTCATTGAAACAATCGCTCGATCCGAATATCTTGGACATGATACCGCCGTGTTCACCAGATCCAGTCAACCTGGCTCTTGCAGCGTCCGCCCCGGTGATCCAGAAGCGTGAGGTGTCGCCTTCGAGTCGGATACATCACCTGACTCGCCAGAATAGATGAGCTCTATCAAAGGATCATCTAGATTACGATTCGCGGTACCCGCTGCAGACGCAGCGAGTGTACCTGTCGCACGTGATGACTCACCACGTGGACTGTTCATAGCAGCAGGCGACGAATCACCTGCTGCTGAGGTGTGAGAGGTACTCTCTCCGGCTGCACACATGCGTGCAGCTGCCTTTCTTGCTACTGCAGTAGCAACTCGCGTGGTTTTCGAAACCATGCGTTGGATTGGTAAATGAATGGAATCTAACCGAAAAGTGCTCCCTTTGCCAGAGTGATCCAATGATGGTACACCCTGTCCCAATCAATTCCATTCAATCAACGGGTGATTGATGGTTAAGGGTTTATGTAACGGAATAGCCTGTTACAATGAAATTGACCTTAAACGGTGTCAACAGGCCTATGTCTAGCATGATAATATCCCACCAATATTATCCGGGATGGATAATATTGAAGGAATTTTATCCCCCTTTCGGATAATATTCATGCGCTGCTCCAAGATTGGTTGATATAAGACATATCAACCATAGATTGCCACCAATCGCTGCTAGACGCGCGCAATGAGTGGTGAGCAGGTTGTCGTCATATGACGACGTAGTTTAAAATAGTTAGATAAAGGTCAAAGTTAAATTGATAGCTTAACTATATCAAGTACAGTTCTCTTTTTACCTTTACTCAAACTAGCTAATTGAGTAGATTAGCTTCCTCTGCACGTACTAGTGTACGTGAAGTTTCGTGGCGCCCAGACAAAGGGTGCCCCGTTACACCTCCGGTCTAAGTGGCGAAAGTCGCATCCGTCTCAATAAAATCAAGTTGTACTAAATTCATTGCACCTATAATTGGACCGCGGGCACGAAACGACCAGTGAGCGTGAATGCATTTCCCACTTAAAAAATTAGGCTGACGCAGGATGGCTTTTTTAATTCCCTGTGATTTGTCGAAAAATGATATTTGCCAGCATGAAGTCTTACAAAGATAGGAAATTGTTACTTCCAGCACACTTTTCTATTTCCACCACACCTTTTCTATGTCCACCATTCTTCTTTACTATCCATAATTCGCCATAACTTTGTTTGAATAACATCAGGCGTACCACGCTACACATCACTACAGCTACCACAGCATCACTCCCAACCCCACTATTCAACTACGATATCTGGTAAGCGCACCCTCGACTTGCCACAGATTGCGAGTGATGGTTTGGGTAGCACAAAGTATTTTTTTATCGTTGTGCGCAATTATCCGTTCGGTCGGATGAGCGGTTAGTTTTGCGCAATTATCCATTCGGTCGGATGAGTGAGCAATTATCCTTTCGGTCGAATAATCGACCGAATAAATAATTGCGCACAACGATAAAAAAATACTTTGTGCTACCCAAACCATCACTCGCAATCTGTGGCAAGTCGAGGGTGCGCTTACCAGATATCGTAGTTGAATAGTGGGGTTGGGAGTGATGCTGTGGTAACTGTAGTGATGTGTAGCGTGGTACGCCTGATGTTATTCAAACAAAGTTATGGCGAATTATGAATAGTAAAAAAGAATGGTGGACATAGAAAAGGTGTGGTGGAAATAGAAAAGTGTGCTGGAAGTAACAATTTCCTATCTTTGTAAGACTTCATGCTGGCAAATATCATTTTTCGACAAATCACAGGGAATTAAAAAAGCCATCCTGCGTCAGCCTAATTTTTTAAGTGGGAAATGAATTCACGCTCACTGGTCGTTTCGTGCCCGCGGTCCAATTATAGGTGCAATGAATTTAGTACAACTTGATTTTATTGAGACGGATGCGACTTTCGCCACTTAGACCGGAGGTGTAACGGGGCACCCTTTGTCTGGGCGCCACGAAACTTCACGTACACTAGTACGTGCAGAGGAAGCTAATCTACTCAATTAGCTAGTTTGAGTAAAGGTAAAAAGAGAACTGTACTTGATATAGTTAACCTATCAATTTAACTTTGACCTTTATCTAACTATTTTAAACTACGTCGTCATATGACGACAACCTGCTCACCACTCATTGCGCGCGTCTAGCAGCGATTGGTGGCAATCTATGGTTGATATGTCTTATATCAACCAATCTTGGAGCAGCGCATGAATATTATCCGAAAGGGGATAAAATTCCTTCAATATTATCCATCCCGGATAATATTGGTAGGATATTATCATGCTAGACATAGGCCTGTTGACACCGTTTAAGGTCAATTTCATTGTAACAGGCTATTCCGTTACATAAACCCTTAACCATCAATCACCCGTTGATTGAATGGAATTGATTGGGACAGGGTGACCATCATTGGATCACTCTGGCAAAGGGAGCACTTTTCGGTTAGATTCCATTCATTTACCAATCCAACGCATGGTTTCGAAAACCACGCGAGTTGCTACTGCAGTAGCAAGAAAGGCAGCTGCACGCATGTGTGCAGCCGGAGAGAGTACCTCTCACACCTCAGCAGCAGGTGATTCGTCGCCTGCTGCTATGAACGGTCCACGTGGTGAGTCATCACGTGCGACAGGTACACTCGCTGCGTCTGCAGCGGGTACCGCGAATCGTAATCTAGATGATCCTTTGATAGAGCTCATCTATTCTGGCGAGTCAGGTGATGTATCCGACTCGAAGGCGACACCTCACGCTTCTGGATCACCGGGGCGGACGCTGCAAGAGCCAGGTTGACTGGATCTGGTGAACACGGCGGTATCATGTCCAAGATATTCGGATCGAGCGATTGTTTCAATGAATCCTCGCCTCGCGCGAGCCCATCCAACGATAGGACGCGTGGGAATGGTGGTGATGCACCTATACATCACCACGAGCGAAGTAATTCGAGGGATCAAGGTGTCACTGGTGTCAGTGCTCATGCTGGCACCAATCCAGAGGCCAGGGACCGAAATGTCCTGCGACACGCTCCCCCAAGGGGGTCTCCTTGGATGTCGCCATCCAGAGAGTTAGACCGGTTGGCCAGCATGACTATCGAACGGGATCGAATCCCGTTGTTCGATTGCAAAAAGATTCGCCCACCTGATCCCAGCACGGAAACTATCTGTGCTGAGGAAGAATTTTTCACCGATTCATTTTTTAAACATCGGTGGTATAGTAATAGCCGTGTTCGAGACGGCAAAGCCTTGGCGCAGGGATGGAATGCCCTCATCCACAACATCGAGTGCATTGGCCGTGAGGCCTGGATCTCCAAACTTGATGCAGATCGCATCACGTTTGAGAAACGCAACCCAATCGGGGCGCGATACAAGTTTCACCGACTTTCAAGAGAGGCAGGATTACGCTGTCTCCCGTGGGATGTTCGTGTCTAGGTTGCCTGGACAAATCGAACCGTGCCCCTAGGGAGGCCTTCCTTCCTAATGATCCCTACTGGAGGGCGCGCATCTCTTCCGAGGTGGCCGAAGGGATAAACACCCTGCAACCCCTGTACTCGCGTTCGGGGAGGTCACTTTCCGACGGCCCTTCTTCGAACGCAGCGGGTGAGTCTCGACGAGACCCAGGACATCAACAATCATCTGGGCACGAGGCTTTCAACTGTCCCACACCGGAAGATAGCCACGCCAGCGGACGAGGTAACTCGTCCAGACGCCATTCACATCGTGGTGTTTCAAAATACGCTCCGCTAGGAAGCGTTGACCACTGCTTGATCCCACCAAAGGATGTGGTGGCGCCGGGAACACTTGATCCGGCTTGAGGGTTGGATCAACTTGATATTCAGGAGCTGAACCGTGTAACGGAAGAGTTGCAAGATGACCTGGCTCACGAAAGGACTCGGCGTTATGAGCTTGCGGATCTTGTAAGGGATATTTACAATTCCCTAACGCACGATCGTTCGGGTGATCGTGCCGCTTTTGCGTTCGCGCAACTTGAGAACGAACGTTCGACTCGTTCTCTTTATGATGAGCTGGCTGCAGCTCGTCGAGACATTACTCAACTGCTTGAGCAGGTCGTTTCGCTAGTCGACCAAACTGGCTCGTTGAAACGGGACCACTTGAGGGTGATCTCGGCTCTCGACCGCAGAGAGGTTCTTCGCATCTCGAAACGGTCTCGTACTGATAGTACGGGCGGAGACGACCAACGTAAAACGTAGGATGCGTACGTATCTTACAGGGCAGTTCAATCGTGTATGCGTTGCCCATTCGGCGCAACACACGAAATGGACCGATATACTTGGGCAGTAATTTACTGCTGCCCACGTTTGTCACTATGTGTTTTGGTAGATTTACTGTAGACATTAAAACCAAATCTACTTCATCAAATGAAAGAACATTTGCTCTTCCCTGTTTGTCTGCGTTTCTTTTATGTCTGACTAGTGCAACTGCAAAAGAGTCTTGAACGAGGCGGAGAACCGCTTCGCGAGTCAGCAGAAATCCCTCTGCTGATTCATCCTTGTCAAAAGCAGTGCGCTTCGTGTGCACTGCTGAGAGAACGTTGCCTTCACCAGTGAGGGCGTCTTCGTCCTCACTGTGGCAGTCGTTGGCGACCAGCGTCGTCATCATCATCATCGATGTCGATCGCATCGACGTCAGTATCCGTCACGCCGACATCATCGTCGACGGGTGATGAGCAAGAACCAGACCGGTTTTTGTTCGAGCGATTCCCCCTCCCTTAAACTAGAGTCACACTCTAAGAAGGCGGGTAAACGTGGATGGCGTAGGCCATTCACGAAGACCGGTGTATGTGTTGTAGAAGCATGCACCGAGTTGTTGATGGCGAATTCCGCCATCGCCAAGAACTCACACTAACTCTTGAACGAGTGGACATACCCTCGAAGTATCGCTTCTAGGACGCGGTTGACGCGTTCCGTCTGACCATATATTTCTGGATGGTCAGAAGTCGACATCTTCAAACGTGTTCCAAGTGAACGGAACACGGATTTCCAGAACTCCGCTCTAAAGCGGGTTTCCTAATCAGACACGAGTTCACGGGGTGACCCGTGAAGTTGGAAGATAGTATCGATGAAGACACGAGCACAGTCGTGGGCTGTGATTGACTCCGGTACAGCAACAAGATGTACCATCTTGCTGAACCGATAAAAAAACCCAAGAATTCCAGTATTCTTGTGAGCGTCTTTGGGAAACCCGAAGACGAAGTCCATCGATACGGACTGCCAACACTCTGCCGGAATCGGTAGAGGCTGCAAGGGTGCGCGGGATGAAGGACTAGTCTTCACCCGTTGACAAAATCCGCAAGCGCGAATGTTTTTGCGCGCATACTCGCACTGGCGAGGCTAGTAGAATTCACGACTTACCGTGCGGTAAGTTTTTTCTCTACCGCGATGCCCACGTGTTGGGGCATCGTGACACATACATGATGCGCAATCGCAAATCATTATGAGCGGGAAGGACAACACGAGGTGTGTCGCCATTGAATGCTGTATAGTACAGCTGTCTATCACGAACCGAATACCGTTCGGTTGAAGAGCGGTATTGAGACGTCAAGCTTTTCAAAGCTTTACTGCATGGATTATACACGGAACCCATCCTTAGCAGAAGAGATTCATCTTCTGCGTATGCCTTCCGCACGTCTTCGAGCAGACTCGACGATGGAATACTCGCTGATAGTGTCTCAATAGTGGCATCAACCTTACTGTTGGGTTGAGCAGTCGGCCCGAAATCGGGCCGACGCGAAAGAGCATCTACGACGACATCAAGTCGTCCTGGTTTATACTAGACGGAGAAGTTGTACTCCGCGAAAAAAAAACCCACCTCGCCATTCGTTGCGAGAGGTGTGGACCGTTTACGGCCGTGCGTCATGACGCATGGTCGGTATAAACGATGGAGGGTATATCTCGTAAGTGATATACCCGAAACTTGGCAAGTGCATATTGCATGGCAAGAAGTTCCTTGTCATGCACCGGATAATTTTGCTCAGCTACTTGCAGCTGGCGCGATTCATAACAGACGACGCGATCAACTCCGTCTGAGTCGTACTGCATCAACCCGCAACCGCTTGCAAAATTACTGGCGTCACAGACCACATGTAATGGTATGTTCTGGTCTGCAATCGCCAACACAAGCGATTGCACCAAGCTTTTCTTGATGCATTCAAAAAGAGTGCTGACACTCAGCGCTCCATGACCACCACTCGTTTTTCTACAGCATACGAGAGAGATGTATGGTCATCTCGGCATAGTTGCGCGAGTATTTGTGCGAGTACGCCGCCAAGCCAAGGAACTTTCGGAGCCCCTTGACTTCGACTGGCACAGGCCAGTCGCTAATCGCCTTGATCTTTTCCGGATCAGGGAGTACACCGTTTTTACGCACGATTCAGCCAAGAAGTGGTATTTCGTTCGCTGCGAATATACGCTTCTTGAGGTTAGCGAACAACTTATGCTCTCGCATTAGAGTAAGAACCTTCCGGACGTGTATTCTATGAACCTCCACGTTTGTCTTTCCATCCATAGCACGACTATGGACGAAGCCATCGTCGAAGTAACTCGGTGCGAAATCGAGCACCGATCTGAACAGATTTGTAACACATCTGTTAAACGTTGCGAGGGCGTTACTTAGCCCCTGTGGCATCACTAGCCACTCCCAGAGCATACCAATGGGGGTACTCGCTGCTGTGTAAGCGATATCCCGTTCACGCATAAGGATCTGATAGAATCCATCCACCAAATCCATGGATGAAAAGATGGTACTTTTTACCATACCATCTATGATGACATCCTTCCTTGGTATTGGCGCTTGAGCCGGTACCGTTGCAGCGTTCAAATTGTTGAATGGGTGCACTATCCTCCACCCTCTTGTTGCTTTTCGCACACAGAAGGTCGGAGAGCTATGTGGGGAAGTTGATTCTATAACATGAACAGCCGCTAATCGATCGACAAAGAATTTGTCGATCGCTGGTATCTATTCACTAGGCAGTGGCCACTACTTCATGGCACAGTATTTCGAACCGGGTTTCAGTTCGATCTCATGCCGAGTTCCTTTGTCCTCGGGCAGCTCGCATGGCACGGATTCAGGGAAAACATCCCTGAATTCAACCAAATCCGTATACAAAGGATTTGTCCTCAAAGACTTCCATAATTGAGACGTGTATCGCTCAATCCGAGTCTTCTCATCGAGGACACTCTCGTCCACCGATGAGCTACTGAGAACACGTTCGTTCTAAGCAAACACTTGTGCCCACCGAATATCGGCGACGTACTCGTCCTCTGTGACGAGTACGCAAATCTGCTTAATCTTGTCACTATGTCGATCTCGCATGAATCTTTTAAATTATAGCGTTGGAAACTTGACTACCTCCGAAGCTGAATTCGGAGGTGTAACCAGATCAAGTGTACAAGCGCCTACGCTTGATCCGTCATTCACCAGGACATTCACTGTCTCGGTGCTTTCCTGGGAAAGCACATTCGCAGGTGGTTGGGGATCCACATCCTCAACAAAACTTCCTCGGGAGTTATCCCTATCAGGAACGCTGAAACCTTCTTCAAAAAATTGTACTGACTGTGGTTGTACTACCACATTCACTTCCTCTTCGATCGACTCTCTGATAGTCGCTTCAACGCGTTGTTCATCCTGAACTATACTGATCTCTCTTCTCGGATTCACCCTTCTTGGTGTACATCCGTGTTCCAGTCCACTCGATCTCTTCGAGTGGTGAACCATCGGCGCAGCCTGTGTCTCTGCACAGGTGCTGGAAGCTGGTTCCACAGTGCAGTGGCTTTTTACACTGTGATCTTGTGCATCCATACTAATGACCGTACCACAAGTGAGGCCATCGCACTCACTCGTAGTACATCCACACGCTTGTGGACGCTCCAAGACGTTAATCAGATGGCCATCCGATGAACAAACGGCAGGCATCTTCACGGATCGATGCTGCCAGCTAACCCATGGCTGGTATTTTCTAAGCCATGGCAGACCGAGGATGACATCAAATTTGTCATCCAAGTCTAGTACGATGAAGTCATCATCGTACTGCTTTTCTTCTATCGTGTAGTGGATTCCCACTATACGTTCGTTCACTGTTACGGATGCGCCTGTAGCAAGGCACACCGTCATCCTCGTTGGAGGGAACTTTCGCTCAACATAGTTGAGTTTACTATCCTCTAGTGACTGGCGTCGAATAAAACTGCTCGACGCCCCACAGTCAACTAGGGCGAGCAGTGACATTTACTTGTCACTTCGATCTTCTAAGTGATGAGAGACTACTCATCACTAGGGGCAGTAACACACAGCGACTGTGTGTTGGGCGCAATCTTCGTCAAGAGTCCTGCAAATTATCTTGACGTTGCTGGATCAGCAGGGTGCTCCGCCCCTACTGACCCTGTCCGTTTTTTGTCGGTCCGACTTGCTGTCGCGCCTTAGCGACACGGTGGACCCACGGCTTGGACCTTTCCTCGGCAAAAAGCGGTCATCACGTCTTGTCTTTGAACGTATTACGATGCTTGGGACACTACACTCTTGAGCGTAGTGCCCAATCTTCTGACAGTGATGGCATCTTGACGTTCGCTTGTGACTCAGAGAGCGAGAGTTCTCGCTCTCGATGTAACAGAGGTCCATTGGTTCGGAACCTCCGGTTTTCTGTCGTCTCGTCGGACGATAATTTGACGAGTCAGCCTGAGACTGTCTCAAGCTGTAGTCTTCTTGTTTGGCAAATGCTATCGCCTTTTCTAGCGTACGGAAGTCCTCTCGGAACATGTAGGTCTTTACCGGTCCATCCACAAGACCGTAGATGAACACGTTGATGAGCGTGTGCTAATCAACAGGGTTTTCCGTAGCGCTACTCGCAAGGTAGCGTAGACGCTGTGCATAAGCGTGCACGTCACGCTTATCTTACTTTAGACTCAAGAGTGCAGAGCGTGCTCTAAACTCGGCTCTCGACGGCTCAACCGTCTCTTTGAGCCAAGGCTTCAAGATCTCCAACGACTAAAACAAGTTTGGGTCGTGAAGCTTGAGCCCTAAGGCCCAATTCTTTGCTCGACGTGTCAAGTTTGACAGGGAGAAGGTGACTTGCATCTCGTCACCCTCGATATGAAGGGCCCTGATGGAATCGTCTGACTCGACAAACCATCTCAAAAGGAAATCTTCATCGGTTCCCTTGTACCTTGAGATATCTATCTTTAATGTTTCGGTTCGACGCATGTGCGTCGGCCCGTCCATCGACTGGTGAGAGCCTTGCTGCTTTAACAAGGCGATCTTCTGTCTTTCGACGGCAAGTTCTTCTTGTAGGAACTTGTTGATAGCAGCATGTTTCTGGTCTATGTTTAAAGACTCCAACATACCACTGATGGCGGGTTCGCCCATGAGCACACTCATGCGGCCGAATACCTCCCACTCTGAGTCACTCAGATGCGAGTAGCCTTCACGTGTGAAGTGAAAGATGTCGTCTTTTACGTCCAACATGAACATGTTGGACGGGCACTAACTAGTCGTTGGACAGACTACAAAGTGCTACCAGGTGTAACGGGGCACCCTTTGTTTGGGGTGCCGCGAAACTTCACGTACACTATTACGTGCAGAGGAAGCTAATAACTTGAACGACTCGGTCAAGTGAGGTAAAAAGAGAACTGTATTTTATATAGTTAAGCTATCAATATAACTTTAATCTTTATCTAACAATAGTAAACTACGTCGTCGTATGACGACAACATGATTGTGGTGGAGTGGGGTTCGCTTATTTTTGAGGCGATCCCGACTCTCCACTGGCGCCCAGACGACCGAAGAACGGAGGGGGTACTCCGATTCCGCTTGCAATTGTTTCCTCCTCACCTTGTGTACCCGTCGACAGGGCGGGTTGCACTCTTCTTGGTGGACTCGACGAGATGCTAAACTTGACCGTTCTAGAGATTAATGCTGATCGGGTGGAAAATCCTCACCCGATCGCGTGCTCTGGGTTGGCGCTCTCCTATAGTCGCCGTGATCTGCCCTGATTACCTTGTGCCAAAATGTGTACTTGAGTCGCTAGCCTTTCTGGCCACTTGAGCCGTCTCGCGATCTTGTACTTCAACCGATACGGTTGGCTGCGTCCGATCGCAGTAGGGGTGTGTTGAGAGTCCTAGCACTCCTGGCCAAATAGCTCCAGGAGTGATCGTTCTACCCTTGATGTCGAGATTCTCATACGTCGGGAGGCCAAAACATCCAACCCGGGAGAAGATCGACACGAATGTGTTTAGAAGCAAATTGAACTCTGTTTAGTTTTAACCAATCAGACCCTCACACCTTACCCCTATAACTCAGAAAATCAGATGCCACGCGTCGCCTCTACAGATCGCCCCTTGTACCTATGTGGCACAGACCTGACACACCAACCGTCATATCGCATCATAGCGTAATCCACGCCAGATCGCGGTCTCCTGATCGCGGTCCCTTGATCGAGTTCCCTTTCGCCGTTCAAAAACTTTCTGACTAAAGGAGATACTTCCGTAAATAATCCCAACGGTGCCATACATATGATTGGTCCTCATCCCACGATCTTTCCGCCGGTTCCCACTGCGTACTTAGGCATACGTTTGAGGTTTTATGACACCGATCTTGATCGACTTTACCACAATCGCCCCCTGCACGAATAGCCGATCTGCAATATCCGGGTCGCTTGTGCACGTTTTAGTCACCATTTTTACGTTTTATCCTCCCGTTGTCTTCCATGGTTTCCCCGTCGTCCACGCCCAGCTTACCACCAACTAGTTGTGCGCCATCTCCCTCGGTGATGACGCAATCTGGTTCCGCACCTTCGGTCGGTGTTGACGTTTCTCCACGCGAACACCCAACTGGCTCCGATTCCACCACAGACACTGTTGAAGGTACCTCGGTGAGCGGAGGTCCGATCGGCTTTGCTTTGGGACTCGATGCTGCTGAGGACATCGCTTCAAGTATGGAACTGATCGGCTCCACGTTGACGCCTGATGCCCTTGACAGTTCTGCTGCAAGTGACAAGCCGATTGGGGTCAGAGAATCTGCTACAACCACTGATCCGATGAGCTCCGCGTTGACGCTTGATGTAGTCGACAATTTTGCTGCAAGTGGCGACCCTATTGGGGCTATTCCGTTGCCGACCGCTCGAGTTGAAACACCAATAGTTGATGAAACAGCGGCGGTTGGTATTATTGCTGGACTTTACCAGTGGACCACATCCCAGCAGGATCTTGTGGATAGCTATCGCGATCTGGAGCAAGCGTTGTGGGAGCAAACTCGGAGGGGTGATCGACTAGAACGGGAACTCCGTTCTCTTACCGAGTCGGCCTCTCCTTTTGTGATCTTCGCTCAAACTCGTTGTGATCGCTTTCGCCTGATTTTGAAAATTGCACTCGCTGGAGTCGCCTTGCTTAAGGAGACAATTTGCGTGGGGGATTGCTACGAACGGCAAATTAGCGACCTAAAGTCGAAACTTCTGAAAACGACCCGATCGCTTTATACGTTTAAAGAACGTCATGATCTCGAAATGGCTTCCTTGCGAAGACACATGGATGAGAGGAACGCTCGATTTCAAGCCGTACTCTTGAAGGCCAAATCTAAGAGAGCCAAGTACAAGGCAGACTGTACCAAGGCTCAGACCACGGTTCGCCACCTGCATGCTGCTCTTGCCGCTGTATCAGTGGAGCGCGATCAAGTTTGGGATGATCTGGCTGAGTTGGAAGATGAATATGACCGATCGCGCTCCTTGCTCTCCGATCGTGACGATCGAATGAATCTGCTTCAAGCTACTATCTCTGGTTTGGAGCTAGATCGCGATCAGGCGTTGCGCGATTGCGACGTTCTTCGAACGAGCATTGCCGCGCTCGTTACCGGCCCCACTTTACCTTCCTAGTCCCGTCCAGTTGAGACGGTCCCATCTACGAGTGCTCGTGTCAAACGCCCTATTACTTCCGCTCTAACTCCTCCTCCGCGGACCAAGAAAGCCAGAATCGAGGCTACCTCGCAGTCGGTCGTCAAGGTGACACCCAAGACTCATTCTCTGACTGCGTCCGGTATCGTCGCCGAGCCTTCTCCGCCGTGTAAAACCCCGAAGAACAACCCTTCCCGATCACCCCACAGTTCCACACGATCTCAAGCGAAACTTACGCCCAAGAAGACTCCCGCTCTTCCCGGACCTGGTGTTCGAAAAGGCAAAGGCAGAGCTCGCAATCCGACGCCTGCTCCAGCTAGCTCGGATGATGACGATTCATCGGATGCTGGGCCTCGAAACTTGGCTGAACTATCCCGATCACGCTCTTCTTTACGGAGTAAAGTCCCGTTGGGTAATCCGACGACTCCGTCTTCTACGTTACCAGAGTTGATCGTAGTCGATACCTCCAGCCCGGATGTGGATTCTCCCACCTCCCCAGTTGCCGCTTACCTTAGGCCAAAACCAAACGTTTCTAAGGTCGACTTGTTTGGCGAAGCTTCTAGCAGTTCGGAGGGTCCGATCAGCGTTAGGGAAGACGTCCAAGCCCCAGCCAATAATCTGTTGTCTTCGGCCGAGTACAAAGATCTTCCCAAGATTAAGGTACCACGCGATCAGTGGATACCCGGGTATCACTGTCGCGTACCAAAATCTTCTGTTCAGGTTTCACCTTGGTCTGCGCGCCGGTTGAGCTGGATTAGCGTGTTGGAATTACATTTGGAGTTCTTCTATCGCCATCTCGCCAGGCCCAAGCATTACCCTTTTCCAGACTCTCTGCTGTGTCGAAAGCACCTCCCATGTCTGAGTGGTCTCTCCACTTGATTTCTTCAGTGCGGGTTGCCGCGCTTTATCGCCAGGAGCCCTGGAAATCTTTGCGCGTGAAGATTGCGCCCATATCTTTCCAGCCCGTTGGATGGTTCGAGCAGTTGCTGTACCTATGCCACTCTTTCGAAGAGCACTATATCCAGACGTTGTGGTAATCAACCCGTACCTTGCCCGTTTCTTCCGCCGATCGGGTTAGAGATCCTGGGCTGGCGTTATTCTGCGATCAGCGCAAACAGCGTCGATCGCGATCTGGACTTCCTTGGAAAACCGTCCTCAAGTTCATACTCCAAGGAATGGTAGAAGGCCATTGCGACTTAGACATTCTTCTGGACCCGGTTTTCTTGCACCTACCTCGCTCACGTGAGAAGCAGTTCTGGTACCCCGGGTTGGGGACTGGGAAGACTAACATTCCCAACCTGGCTTACGCTTTGTCGTTGACGAACTCTGCTAAGCCATGGCGTAAGCAGTACCGGACTTCGATCGCGAATCACCCAGGCATGTCAATCCCTCTCCAATCCGGTAAGTTCTTCGCCTTGTAGTCTATCGAATTCAACACATTTCATATTTTAGTTTCATTTCTTCATACTGTCTTTAATCTTGATCTCTCCGGAAATGTCTTCGACTTCAGGCCTCTTGGGCCGCGATCGTGCTTCGATCGCTACACATACTTAGAAACAAACCTTCCTCCTTCATACACCTCCTCCTGGTGTAACTTTTTCCATCGTACGGCCTTGTGCAACCTCCTTCCACACTTACAAACCCCATCCACCTCGATCTGGTCTAGACTCTTGGCCCTTCTTCGTGTGTTTGCATCACTTCGAACCTATTTCGACTTATCCGATCGCGATCAAATTCTTGTAATAGAGCGCCACAATTCAAGTCTGTTTCATCCACCCATGATGGATCGCTATTACCTTTCCATTGAGCCAGAAATTGACGGTGTACTCGTCCGTAACGCGTCTTTCGGCCCGATCGGACGTCCACAATCTTTGTCACCTCGAATTCACCATCATCCAACTCGCCTTCCCAGCCATCTTCTGGTAGTAAGGCTTCGTTGAAATCGACCCGATCGGACGCTTCTACCTTCAGTTGACTTTGAGGCCGCTCTGGGAACATCTTCACTGGCTTTAGCTTGGCCACATGTACTCTCGGGAACAACTACAAGGTGTGCCTGCGATGTCAAATTTAACTGCATGATCTACACATTTTTCCATTACTCAAAAGGGTCCGTGCCACATATGGGCTAACTTCCGAGCATATCCATCCTTCACGCAATCCAAATACAACCACACTTGTGCCCCTTGATTGATCTCTAGCAGATTTCTGTCGTCATTGTGACAATCCGATCTGTCCTGGATAGCAATCTTTAACCGATCGTTCACGATTGCTCTTGCCTGTTGATACTGACGCTGTATGTTATATCTCCATCTTCTTAATGGGAAGTGTCAAACCTCGCGATCGAGATCCAAGAAGATGGAGATATAACAGACAATGTCAGTATCAACAGGCAAGAGCAGTCGTGAACGATCGGTTAAAGATTGCTATCCAGGACAGATCGGATTGTCACAATGACGACAGAAATCTGCTAGAGATCAATCAAGGGGCACAAGTGTGGTTGTATTTGGATTGCGTGAAGGATGGATATGCTCGGAAGTTAGCCCATATGTGGCACGGACCCTTTTGAGTAATGGAAAAATGTGTAGATCATGCAGTTAAATTTGACATCGCAGGCACACCTTGTAGGTTGTTCCCGAGAGTACATGTGGCCAAGCTAAAGCCAGTGAAGATGTTCCCAGAGCGGCCTCAAAGTCAACTGAAGGTAGAAGCGTCCGATCGGGTCGATTTCAACGAAGCCTTACTACCAGAAGATGGCTGGGAAGGCGAGTTGGATGATGGTGAATTCGAGGTGACAAAGATTGTGGACGTCCGATCGGGCCGAAAGACGCGTTACGGACGAGTACACCGTCAATTTCTGGCTCAATGGAAAGGTAATAGCGATCCATCATGGGTGGATGAAACAGACTTGAATTGTGGCGCTCTATTACAAGAATTTGATCGCGATCGGATAAGTCGAAATAGGTTCGAAGTGATGCAAACACACGAAGAAGGGCCAAGAGTCTAGACCAGATCGAGGTGGATGGGGTTTGTAAGTGTGGGAAGGAGGTTGCACAAGGCCGTACGATGGAAAAAGTTACACCAGGAGGAGGTGTATGAAGGAGGAAGGTTTGTTTCTAAGTATGTGTAGCGATCGAAGCACGATCGCGGCCCAAGAGGCCTGAAGTCGAAGACATTTCCGGAGAGATCAAGATTAAAGACAGTATGAAGAAATGAAACTAAAATATGAAATGTGTTGAATTCGATAGACTACAAGGCGAAGAACTTACCGGATTGGAGAGGGATTGACATGCCTGGGTGATTCGCGATCGAAGTCCGGTACTGCTTACGCCATGGCTTAGCAGAGTTCGTCAACGACAAAGCGGAAGCCAGGTTGGGAATGTTAGTCTTCCCAGTCCCCAACCCGGGGTATCAGAACTGCTTCTCACGTGAGCGAGGTAGGTGCAAGAAAACCGGGTCCAGAAGAATGTCTAAGTCGCAATGGCCTTCTACCATTCCTTGGAGTATGAACTTGAGGACGGTTTTCCAAGGAAGTCCAGATCGCGATCGACGCTGTTTGCGCTGATCGCAGAATAACGCCAGCCCAGGATCTCTAACCCGATCGGCGGAAGAAACGGGCAAGGTACGGGTTGATTACCACAACGTCTGGATATAGTGCTCTTCGAAAGAGTGGCATAGGTACAGCAACTGCTCGAACCATCCAACGGGCTGGAAAGATATGGGCGCAATCTTCACGCGCAAAGATTTCCAGGGCTCCTGGCGATAAAGCGCGGCAACCCGCACTGAAGAAATCAAGTGGGGAGACCACTCAGACATGGGAGGTGCTTTCGACACAGCAGAGAGTCTGGAAAAGGGTAATGCTTGGGCCTGGCGAGATGGCGATAGAAGAACTCCAAATGTAATTCCAACACGCTAATCCAGCTCAACCGGCGCGCAGACCAAGGTGAAACCTGAACAGAAGATTTTGGTACGCGACAGTGATACCCGGGTATCCACTGATCGCGTGGTACCTTAATCTTGGGAAGATCTTTGTACTCGGCCGAAGACAACAGATTATTGGCTGGGGCTTGGACGTCTTCCCTAACGCTGATCGGACCCTCCGAACTGCTAGAAGCTTCGCCAAACAAGTCGACCTTAGAAACGTTTGGTTTTGGCCTAAGGTAAGCGGCAACTGGGGAGGTGGGAGAATCCACATCCGGGCTGGAGGTATCGACTACGATCAACTCTGGTAACGTAGAAGACGGAGTCGTCGGATTACCCAACGGGACTTTACTCCGTAAAGAAGAGCGTGATCGGGATAGTTCAGCCAAGTTTCGAGGCCCAGCATCCGATGAATCGTCATCATCCGAGCTAGCTGGAGCAGGCGTCGGATTGCGAGCTCTGCCTTTGCCTTTTCGAACACCAGGTCCGGGAAGAGCGGGAGTCTTCTTGGGCGTAAGTTTCGCTTGAGATCGTGTGGAACTGTGGGGTGATCGGGAAGGGTTGTTCTTCGGGGTTTTACACGGCGGAGAAGGCTCGGCGACGATACCGGACGCAGTCGGAGAATGAGTCTTGGGTGTCACCTTGACGACCGACTGCGAGGTAGCCTCGATTCTGGCTTTCTTGGTCCGCGGAGGAGGAGTTAGAGCGGAAGTACTAGGGCGTTTGACACGAGCACTCGTAGATGGGACCGTCTCAACTGGACGGGACTAGGAAGGTAAAGTGGGGCCGGTAACGAGCGCGGCAATGCTCGTTCGAAGAACGTCGCAATCGCGCAACGCCTGATCGCGATCTAGCTCCAAACCAGAGATAGTAGCTTGAAGCAGATTCATTCGATCGTCACGATCGGAGAGCAAGGAGCGCGATCGGTCATATTCATCTTCCAACTCAGCCAGATCATCCCAAACTTGATCGCGCTCCACTGATACAGCGGCAAGAGCAGCATGCAGGTGGCGAACCGTGGTCTGAGCCTTGTTACAGTCTGCCTTGTACTTGGCTCTCTTAGATTTGGCCTTCAAGAGTACGGCTTGAAATCGAGCGTTCCCCTCATCCATGTGTCTTCGCAAGGAAGCCATTTCGAGATCATGACGTTCTTTAAACGTATAAAGCGATCGGGTCGTTTTCAGAAGTTTCGACTTTAGGTCGCTAATTTGCCGTTCGTAGCAATCCCCCACGCAAATTGTCTCCTCAAGCAAGGCGACTCCAGCGAGTGCAATTTTCAAAATCAGGCGAAAGCGATCACAACGAGTTTGAGCGAAGATCACAAAAGGAGAGGCCGACTCGGTAAGAGAACGGAGTTCCCGTTCTAGTCGATCACCCCTCCGAGTTTGCTCCCACAACGCGATAGCTATCCACAAGATCCTGCTGGGATGTGGTCCACTGGTAAAGTCCAGCAATAATACCAACCGCCGCTGTTTCATCAACTATTGGTGTTTCAACTCGAGCGGTCGGAAACGGAATAGCCCCAATAGGGTCGCCACTTGCAGCAAAATTGTCGACTACATCAAGCGTCAACGCGGAGCTCATCGGATCAGTGGTTGTAGCAGATTCTCTGACCCCAATCGGCTTGTCACTTGCAGCAGAACTGTCAAGGGCATCGGGCGTCAACGTGGAGCCGATCAGTTCCATACTTGAAGCGATGTCCTCAGCAGCATCGAGTCCCAAAGCAAAGCCGATCGGACCTCCGCTCACCGAGGTACCTTCAACAGTGTCTGTGGTGGAATCGGAGCCAGTTGGGTGTTCGCGTGGAGAAACGTCAACACCGACCGAAGGTGCGGAACCAGATTGCGTCATCACCGAGGGAGATGGCGCACAACTAGTTGGTGGTAAGCTGGGCGTGGACGACGGGGAAACCATGGAAGACAACGGGAGGATAAAACGTAAAAATGGTGACTAAAACGTGCACAAGCGACCCGGATATTGCAGATCGGCTATTCGTGCAGGGGGCGATTGTGGTAAAGTCGATCAAGATCGGTGTCGTAAAACCTCAAACGTATGCCTAAGTACGCAGTGGGAACCGGCGGAACGATCGTGGGACGAGGACCAATCATATGTATGGCACCGTTAGCATCATTCATGGAAATATCTCATCCGGTCAGAACGGGTCAGAACGTTTCCGAACGGCGAAAGGGAACTCGATCAAGGGACCGCGATCAGGAGACCGCGATTGAGGGACCGCAATCAGGGGACCGCGATCAGAGGACTGCGATCAGGGACCGCGATCAGGGGACCGCGATTAGGGGCCGCGATCAAGGGACCGCGATCTGGCGTGGATTACGCTATGGTGCGATCTGACGGTTGGTGTGTCAGGTCTGTGCCACATAGGTACAAGGGGCGATCTGTAGAGGCGACGCGTGGTATCTGATTTTCTGAGTTATAGGGGTAAGGTGTGAGGGTCTGATTGGTTAAAATTAAACAGAGTTCAATTTGCTTCTAAACATATTCGTGTCGATCTTCTCCCGGGTTGGATGTTTTGGCCTCCCGACGTATGAGAATCTCGACATCAAGGGTAGAACGATCACTCCTGGAGCTATTTGGCCAGGAGTGCTAGGACTCTCAACACACCCCTACTGCGATCGGACGCAGCCAACCGTATCGGTTGAAGTACAAGATCGCGAGACGGCTCAAGTGGCCAGAAAGGCTAGCGACTCAAGTACACATTTTGGCACAAGGTAATCAGGGCAGATCACGGCGACTATAGGAGAGCGCCAACCCAGAGCACGCGATCGGGTGAGGATTTTCCACCCGATCAGCATTAATCTCTAGAACGGTCAAGTTTAGCATCTCGTCGAGTCCACCAAGAAGAGTGCAACCCGCCCTGTCGACGGGTACACAAGGTGAGGAGGAAACAATTGCAAGCGGAATCGGAGTACCCCCTCCGTTCTTCGGTCGTCTGGGCGCCAGTGTAGAGTCGGCATCGCCTCAAAAATGAGCGAACCCTACTCCACCACACCTACGCCATCCACGTTTACCCTCAATCTTAGATTGTGACTCCAGTTTAAGGAGAGGGATGGACTCGCTCGAACGAAAACCGATCTGGGTTTTGCTCATTACCCGTCGACAATGGTGTCGACGTGATGGAAGCCGATTTCGATGCAATCGACATCGGTGATAATGATGACAACGATGTTGGTATATTCAGCATCGCCAATGACTGCCACAGGGAGGACGCCGACGCCCTCATCGGTGAAGACAACGTTCTTTCAGTATTGCACATGAAGCGCACTTCTGTTGACTAGGATGAACCAGCAGAGGAATTTTTGCTGACTCGCGAAGCGGTCGTCCGCTTCGTTTAAGACTCTATTGCAGATGCGTTGGACAGACATAAAAGAAACGCAGACAAACAGGGAAGATCAAATGTTCTTTCATTTGATGAAGGAGATTTAGTTCTACTGTCTACAGTAAATCTACCAAAACACGCAGTGACAAACGTGGGCAGCAGTAAATTACTGCCCAAGTATATCGGTCCATTTCGTGTGTTGCGCCGAATGGGCAACGCATACACGATTGAACTGCCCTGTAAGATACGTACGCATCCTACGTTTTACGTTGGTCGTCTCCGCCCGTACTATCAGTACGAGACCGTTTCGAGATGCGAAGAACACCTCTGCGGTCGAGAGCCGAGACCACCCTCAAGTGGTCCCGTTTCAACGAGCCAGTTTGGTCGACTAGCGAAACGACCTGCTCACGCAGTTGAGTAATGTCTCGACGAGCTGCAGCCAGCTCATCACGAGAGACCGAGTCTAGCGTTCGTTGTCAAGCTGCGCAAACGCAAAAGCGGCACGATCATCCGAACGATCGTGCGTTAGGGAATTGTAAATATCCCTTACAAGATCCGCAAGCTCATAACGCCGAGTCCATTCGTGAGCCAGGTCGTCTTGCAACTCTTCCGTTACACGGTTCAGCTCCTGAATATCAGGTTGTTCCAACTCTCGAGCCGGATCGGGTGTTCCCGCCGCCGCCACATCATTTGGTGGGCTCAAGCGGTGGTCAATGCTTTCTAGTGGAGCGTATTGGGAGCCACCGCGATGAGAATGGCGTCCGGACGAGCTACCTCGTCCGCTGGCGTGGCTATCTTCCGGTGTGGGACAGTTGAAAGCCTCGTGCCCAGATGATTGTTGATGTCCTGGGTCTCGTCGAGACTCACCCGCTGCGCTTGAAAAAGGGCCGTTGGAATACGACCTCCCCGAACGCGAGTACAGGTATTGCAAGGTGTCAATGTGTTTGGCCATCTCAGTTGAGATGCGCGCCGTCCAGTAGGGACCATTATGGCGATAGGCCTCCCAAGGGGCACGGTTCGATTTGTCTAGGCAACCTGGACAAGAATCACCCCACAAGAGACAGCGTAATTCTGCCTCTCTTAAAAATTTGGGGCAACTTGTATCGCACCCCCGCTGGGTTGCGTTTCTCAAACGTGATGCGATCTGCATCAAGTTTGGAGATCCAGGCCTCACGGCCAATGCACTCGATGTTACGGATGGGGGTATTCCATTCCTGCATCAAGGCATTTCCGTCTCACACACGGCTGCCATTGTACCACCGATGTTTGAAGAACGCATCGGTGAAGAACTCTTCTTCAGCACGGACATTTTCCGTGCTGGAATTAGATGGACAGAACATCCTCCAGTCGAACAACGATATTCGATCCCGTTCGGTGGTCATACTGGCCACTCGAAGTAACTCTTTGAATGACGACATCCAAAAGATCTCCAATATAGGAGCGTGGCGCAGGACATTTGGTCCCTGGCCTCTTGAATAGTGCCAGCGTATATGCCACCAGTGACACCTCGATTCCTCGAGTTACTTCGCTCGTGGTGGTGTAAAGTTGCATCACTACCATCCCAACGCGTTCTATCGATAGACGGACTTGCGTGAGGCGGAGATTTATCGGGATCACTCGATCCGAAGATTTCGGTCATGATACCGCCGCGCTGACCAGAGCCAGTCAGCCTGACTCTTGCAGTGTCCGCCCCGGGTAATCCGGAGGCGTGAGACGTCGCCTTTGAGTCGGATGCATCATCCGAATCGCCAGAATAGATGAGCTCTGTTTCAGACCCATCCGGAATACGATTCGCGGTACCCGCTGCAGACGCAGCGGATATACCTGTCGCACGTGGTGACTCACCACGTGGAGGATTCACAACAACAGGAGACGTATCGACTGCTGCCGAGATGTGAGAGGCACTTTCCACGGCCTCACGCATGCGTGCAGCCGCAATTCTTGCAGCTGCAGTAGCAGCTCGCGTGGTATCTAAATCAATGCGTTAACTTGGCAAATAAATGAATTTTGACCAACACGTGCTCCTTTCCCAGACTGATCCAACGGTAATCACCCTGTCCAAACTAATTCTAATTCAATCAACGGGTGATTGATGGTTAAGGGGTTATGTAACGGAATAGCCTGTTACAATGAAATTGACCTTAAACGGTGTCAACAGGCCTATGTCTAGCATGATAATATCCTACCAATATTATCCGGGATGGATAATATTGAAGGAATTTTATCCCCTTTTGGATAAAATACATGCGCTGCTCCAAGATTGGTTAATATAAGACATATCAACCATAGAATGCCACCAATCGCTGCTAGACGCGCGCAGTGAGTGGTTAGCAGGTTGTCGCCATACGACGGCGTAGTTTAAAATAGTTAGATAAAGATTAAAGTTAAATTGATAGCTTAACTATATCAAGTACAGTTCTTATTTTATCCATTACTCAGCTCGGTCGTTGAGTAGATTAGCTTCCTCTGCACGTACTAGTGCACGTGAAGTTTTACGGCACCCCTCACAAAGCGTGCCCCGTTACAGCAATGATCGCATTGACATTGTTAAAGGACAAGATATCCACTACTCCTATTTTTTTTTGATCCCGATCGACCTGCTTCTGATTGTAGTATATGCTAGTAAGTGGGCTGTATCAGCTGCTTTGCTTTAAGAATTTGAAAGCGTGTATTGTCCCGTCACCTTTTCGAGTCGTACGCTAAACCCAACAAGCTTAACTACGGAATGGTGGAGAAAGATGTGTTGGCTCTCCTCCGGATGCTAGACATCTGTTATACTATGCTGGTATCTCGGGGGATGTTGGTGCTGACGCGACATTCGACAATAGAGTGGTTACTACAATCATCAGGCCTTAACGGAAGATTAAAAAGATGGGTGCTTTCTTGTTGAACTGGACGTTGGCAATTAGGCAATCGGAGAAGGGAGAAGATGAAAAACTCGGCATGCTGGCGGCAAGTATAGCATCTCGGGAAGAAGTAGATGAAGTATTGATTGCGATCGCCCCAAGAAAATAACCAAGGCAAACAATAAGCATCTCACAACCTACAGTTGGGGTGAAAGAAATTTTGCTAGTAGCGAGTTTCGATGGATCTGCCAAAAGCGAAAGGTAAGGTGAAGCATAAAGCGCGATTTTATAAAAACTGCCAGAATAGGCGATTGTGGCTGCGGCTTCCGAGTATACTCCTGACCTAACCGCAAATGAAGCGGAATATCGTGGGCTGCTCTTAAGTTTCGATTCGCTTGCCGATCAGGCTAGGGGACGAGTGATCATCTGTGAAGATTCAAATTTAGTGATTCGTCAAATGCGAGGAGAAATCGACTGTAGAGGGCCGGGATTGTAGTTGCTGAAGGATAGGGATATGGATAAATTAAGACCATGGCCATCTCACGAGTTCTTGCTAATGAAGAGGGACAGGAATTAGACTGCTGATCGACTGGCGAGTAAAGCTCTACGGCAAGAAAAATGGACAGTCGTTGTTTCCGATCAAGAGCATCAAGACCTGGTCACTCTCAATCGGTGAAATATATTACGAAGACCCGAATAAGTCGATTGTCTGGTCAAAGTAAAGGCTATCACGCGATCAGCTCAGAGAAGACGTTGTCAGCCCAGGATGTTACAAAAGGAGGTGGTGCAGGAGATAAGGATCGGCTATATAAAACCATCACAAGAACATCAAAGTTAGATATCTAGTCTAGATACATATCTGGTTGGAAATACAAACAAACTATCAGCCGCTGAAGCGAAGGAATGTTTCCTAATCGCGCCGGTCATGAAGTGGACCAAAGTGGACTGCTGTTTTTTGTCCGAGATCAGCCACCGAAGCTAAAGATCTCACTGAACTGGCTCGGTTGGTGGTGCCAGATCGATTACAGCGAGACTTCTTGCATCATTACCACACGAGATTGGAGTGTGGTAACCAAAGGGTTGGTCGTATTTACCAGCTAATTAGAGCGAGCTTACATTGTCGTGGGTTGTACCGAAGTGTACAGCGGTATATGTGAGTGTGCATAGATTGTGAAACAGGAAAGGAACGACCGAGGGATCGAAGTGTATCGCCTGGTAATACGCGATCGACATACCCATCTCAAATTTTAGCTATGGATCAGATCCCCACGTTGCAAAGATCGTTTAAAAGATATACCGAGCTGCTGCTGTGGGTCGATCTGTTCACGGGATATAAGATCGCAAAGGCAAGCTCGTCCAGATCTGCCCAGACAATCGCAAAAAAACTACGAGGAGTGTGTTCGACGATTCGATGCGGGTGAGGCGATACGCCACGTTCGTGAGCCAAAATTTATGTCTGATTTCTTACGAGCATTCAATCGGATCGCAGGACAAAGCCAACGGGCCACTTTGGCGTATAGACCGCAAGCTAATAGTACGGTCGAACGCATGGTGCATACGCTGACTGAGTGAATTAAGATTTATGTTATGGATGAGAGTCAATAGGACTGGGACAAACATGAGGAGCGATTGACTTATGCGATCAACACCCCTCAAGATCGAATTCGACGAGATGAACCATTTTACTTGATTCATGGATGGGACCTAAGATCGACTTTACCTTGACGTTGGAAAGCACCAAGCCCCGGGATCGAGATGCCCGAAAATGGAGATATGGCATGCAACGCCATAACCAACGTGCGCGGGCGCTGGTAAATGAAAGATTGGAGGCTGCGATCAGAGGTTGAGACTGTCGGCACAATTAAGATCGAAATTCATTGAATATCGATCGCTGTTCGCATGTTTGACTATATCTAGACCGGGTCAAGGAAAGATATGCTCGAAAGCTAGCTCATATGTGGCATGGACCTTTCCGAGTGGCCGAGAAGTGCGGCGATCACGCCGTAAAGTTGGAAATCGCAGGCACGCCGTACCGTCTATTTCGAACAGTCCACTTGTCCAAGCTGAAGCTAGTTCAATATTCCCAGAACGCCCGACAGGTGAGCTAAAAATGGATGAGGCGAGTCGGTTTGATTTGACGAAGCGTTACTGCCGGACGACAGCTGGGAGGGTAACCTTGACGCGAATGAGTTTGAAGTGGTCAAAGATCATCGATTTGCGATCGGGACGAAAGACGAGGTATGGAAGAATACAAAAACAGTAGCTAGTACAATGGAAGCAGTACATCTAGCCGACCTGGATCGATGAAGCTGATCAAAATTGTGGAGCTATGATACAAGAGTTTGATCGCGATCGGGTGAGCAGGATTATGCAATCACACGAAGAAGAAGATATAGACTAGCAATGATTGAAGAGCTTGGTTGGATGGGCATATGCTAAGTAAGTGCATGTGCAAATGGAAGAGTTATGGATGCAAAGGGTTTGTACATGGAGATGGAATGGAATAGATGTAAATTGAGTACGACGATCGCAGACGATTAATGCAATCACGAAACTTGGAAGGAAGAAATACGAATAATGGGAGAGATCGAATGGACATGAGATAAAGAACATATTAAAAGATCTCATTATGGAAACTGACCTAAGGATTTTTCACGGTTAAAGAACTTACCAACCAAGCGAGGGAGAGGAGACCCAGGGTGAGAGGCGATTCGGCCACGAAATTGGTTCCTCCAACGCTCTGCAGCACGATTGATCTATCGGGAGGTGATCAGATCAGTAAATTGGCATGCCTTACAGACAGGGTGGGATACCACACTCACTTTTCGTTATGACGGTGAAAGTAAAGGAACATTGGATCCAACAAGATGTCATGATAGCAAAGCCCGTCGACGATTCCCTGAAAAACCGCCTGAAACCCTCTCTTCCATCGCGGGCCAGCACGAGATTGTCGCTGCCTTCTTTCTTGAAAAAAATCAGCCAACGCTGGGTCCGATTTGCGCTGCGCAGGGGAAATGTACTCGAAGTGTTTCAACTCCCGCAAAGCTTGACGATGGCTCCGCGAAACCTTGATACGCGTCTTACATGTTTTAAAACAACCCGGATA